TCCGTCGATTAACCCATTTTTTATCAATATTAAATATATGGTTGGATCAGATATTTTATTTATTTTGCATTACCCCTTTTCCATCCGCCCATATCCGATCTAACCCCGTTTGCCACCCCTATTCTAGATAGATGTTTACAACATGTTAATTCAACCTAGTGGATTGATGAATCAGATTTCCTGTTGAGTGAAATGGAGTTTTTATGCAAATAGAGAATTGAAAGGGGGAGAAGTACTAAGCTCCCGTTTTATCATAGATTTTGGCTAAATATTTTATAATTTTTTTTGAAAACATTGTTTGTTCAGAAAATAGGATTAGTTTTTGAAAAAAATTTAGAAAAAAATTTTCAAGTTCCTAAAAACTGGTTTATGACAGTTTTTATGTGAAATTTTTTCTTCCACCCATATAATTTCAATTTTTTTTCAAATAAAATACATGTCCAAACACAACCTTAACTTTCAAAAATTATTTTTAAACATAACTTCAATTTTTTTTTTCCAAGTTTTAGGGAATTTTTGGAGAGTTGCATTTACAAGAAGGAAGATCTAGTTTATATTCTCTATTCAGAGAAAACGACAACTGGAAAGTGGGAAAGCAATGGAGTAGTAATAATCAGTGAATCAGTTTCACACAATTGGGGTGATGTAATTGAAAGGTGATGTGACTGCAAATGAAGGGCAATTACACGTCAGGAGTCAACAAGTGGCATGATTAAAGCGTTGATTGAGAATCTAAAATTACATAACTCTACTTTGTAAAAGTGGTTAAGATGATTTAGTTACTAGAAAAGAGATAAAAGCATCATTTAGCTAATAAACAATGATAACTTTCAAATATGGTAGGCATTTATTTCTAATATATAATTAGTTATGCGCTACAGTGATCGTATGCGGATTCATGATTTAAATTCGATTGGTTCATTTAAAATTTTTAGCGTTGAATCTATTATATTTTTAAAGTTATAAGTTCACATCTACTATGGTTCAACCTTTCTATAACAACATCCTTATATAATAACACCTCACTATAAAAGCCAAGGTCTTTCCAGAACCAGATTCATGTTCTGTTATAATAATATATGTTCTCTATAACATCAATTCGCTATAATATCCAAAAATATTCGAAACAAACAAGACTGTTATATATCTTTTAGATGACTTGGTAGCATAAAATACTTCTGGACTTTATAAAAGTTGAACTCTTCAAGTACTACTACCATACACTGCAAAGCAACTTTACCAACACTTTTTGATGAACATTGATGTTTAATTATACATGTATTTGTAGAGGAACAAAACTTGAAGCATGTTAACGATAGAACAATAATCTTGATATGGTTTTTCTATCCTTTAATTTGGCTGGTTTAAGATTAGAAAGAGGACGAATATGGATACGGATTTGATATACATCATCCAACAATTGAAAAGAAACACATAATATTCCTCCCCAATAAAAAATCGATTCACAATACCGAGAAGTTAAAGAAAAACGCAGTAAGCGTACCCTAAGGCTCTCCTCTTTCCCTACACTACAAAAAATACTAGTATTAGCTATGAATTTCGTCGATACTCTGTCGTTAAATTGCTTTTAGATAATAAATTTTCTTAATAATCTGTCGCTTATCAATCGTTAAATAGGATTAGCGATGAATTTTCTGTTTAGCTACAGAATTTGTCCATTACTAATTCATGTTCTTTTAGCAACACCATCAACTCCATTTTTCATTGGTCCAAAGCCAATGTAAAATCCGGTGAATAAAAGGAAAGGAGATCAGAAAGATCATACGCGAACGACTTAACAATAGCATAGGTCGGATATTTTTATAAGCAGTAAGTAACAATTAAATCTGGTGGCCACTGAGTTATTGAAATGGAAGTAACTTCGTATGGTAAATATTTAGGAGTAATATACTTTATTAACGTCACAGACCTCACTTGTAGGATTACACTGGATTATTGTTGTATTCTTCGTTAAAGAAATATACAGCCCTTTTAACTTAAACTACATAGAGAACAGTGTATTGGTTATCTCATTACCTGCATAGTGTTCCACAACCATCGGTCAAAATTCCTAACTTGCATGCATATTAGAGAAAAAGTTGATTGTTAATTTGTCTCGTAATTTTATTCATATGCAATTGTATTTGGCTAGATTTGGGCCATTCAGAGCCGGATAATCGAGGAAATGGCATTCTTACTGATTGATTGAGCTTAGTTCGACGTAAGTATCTTGCCTAACTTCGTGTGGGAGAACTACCCCTTAGGATTTGAGTCTTCTATGCTAATTGTAGTCCGTGTACGCGAGGTGACAAGTACGTGCTCGGACTTATTTGTTGAAAATTGGCATTTTAAGATTCTTAGGTCCTTGTATTCACTGAATATGCAGTTGTTATGTTATGAATACGTCTCTTAATTACTAGTTTCACCTCTACCTGCTTTAATTAGAATTAATTGCTTCATGATCCGCCCTTGATGCTTATTTGAGTCATTTGTGCCCTAACTGAAATTGTTATCTCTTCTATCACCATGTTGTCTTTTCCCTAACTGCTTATTTTCATTTGAAGTTATAATTATTTCTTCTGTAATTGTTCATCCTTAACTAAGGCTATGATTTTCTTTATACTGCTTATCTTTAATTGAAGTTGTTGTATCTCTTTCGTACTTGCCCAACCTTAAAAGAAGTTTACATATCCTATATCTTAGTTGACTTATCCTTATTGAAATTAATGACTCGTGATATCTCCCTCGTTGTTGAACTGTACTTTGTGGGAACGTTGTTACATATTATTTTCTCCCTTGTTGAGTTGTTCCTATTATGATTAGCATTCTCTATTGTGGCTACTCCTTGTGAATTAGTTCCTCCGTTCCTTTGAGTTCTGGAATTTCTGAGTTGATTTATTTGTCGTACTCTTGTATTAGTGTTATTATTGTCGTTGTACTTGTTGTTCTTGCGTATTTACTTTGAGACTACGAGGCGGTACCTCGGGAGATCCCCCTGTCTTGCATATTTACTTTGGGACTACGAGGCGGTACCTCGGGAGATCCCCCCTGTCTTGTATATTTACTTTTGGGACTACGAGGCGGTACCTCGGGAGATCCCATGTTGAGCATTTACTTTTGGGACTACGAGACGGTATCTCGGGAGTGCCCTTTGTTGACATCTCTTTATTATGGGGTTGCACGAGGTTTCTGCCGTGCTATTATTACTATTCATATTTACACATACGGCGTGACAAGGCGGGATATATATATGTGGGTTGCGCATGTGGTGAGACAAGGTGGGAATATTATTATACACATGTGACGAGATAAGGCGGGCATTTACTTTACTATTGCACACGTGGCGAGACAAGGTGGGCTATGTTAGAGATTGATTTGTGATGATTTGTGATGGCCTGGGGGCATTCTTGTTGTTGATATTTGTGTAGTGGTACACTTATCTGTGTGAGCTTTATCTTGTGAAAGTTGTGAGAAAATATTCTATGTGTTGTCCGTTCTTTTCCTTATGCTCACTAGCTGGTATGAACTATATTAGGACACTTGCACAAGTATACACGTAGTTAAGCACTCTTATCGGATAAGAGGTTTTCTTGATATTGTTGAGTATATATGCATACCATTGCTTACTTGCCTTCTATGTGAGAATGGACCTATTTGGCACGCGAGTCGTCAGTGCGGCTATGAGGTATAATGAGGGCACAGGATGCCAAGTGTTAGGGTTCAGATATTAAGACCCGTGAGTTGTGATTGTCCGAGATTCGGTACCTCGTGGAGTTTATTGACTAAAACCCGGTGTGAAAGCTATCGTATTGTTGAGTTGTTACTTGTCATTTCTTTATCTGTGATTATTGGACTTAGGTTGTGTTTCCGTTCATTCTTCTATGTCATTATTATGGTGTTCCGCTGATAGTTGTTGTTTTCCTTCCTTATTGCAATTACCGTATTAATTGTCACTTCGCGTAGTCTTTATGTAGATATCATACTCTGTTGTTTCTATACTTATACTTGTTCAGGTTATTTAGTCTAGTAGGTGTCTTGACTCTATCTCGTCACTACTCCACTGAGGTTAGTCTTGATACTTGTTGGGTACCGCCGTGGTGTACTCATACTACACTTCTGTACAATTTTGTGCAGATTCAGCTATTTCGAAGTCAGTTGATCATTAGCTAGCTGTGCGAATTGTTGCTGTGGAGACTCAAGGTAAACCTTTTGCTGCGTTCGCATGCTTCGGAGTCACCTTCCTATTTTGTATTCACATTGTTTTACCTATTTACAAACAGTTGTATTTAGAAATTTGTAGCAATCTCTGTAGAGCCTATGACTTGTACTACCGATTTTGGAAATTATAAATTTTATAGAGAAATCCATTTCAAAAGTTGTTAGATATTATTATTATTGTTATTATTCAGTAAATGTTAGGCTTACCTAGTTCTAAAACTATGTGTCATCATGATACCCAACGGAGAAAAAATTGGGTCGTGACAAGTTTCTAGATTAAGCAAGTGAAAGAAAATATTTGAACTCACAAGAGGTAAAACAACAACATGCCATAGGCAGAGACGGATCCAGGATTTAAATCCTATATATAGGTTCTACTTTTAAGGTTTTTAGCATTGAACTCAATATATTTTTAAAATTATGAGTTCATATTTACTTCTTTTTTTTCAATTTTAATGAATTTTTGCATATAAATGTTTACTCGGCGTCGAAAGTTATGGGTTCAATTGAATCCATCGGCAGAATACTACATCCGCCCCTATATATAGGTTAATCACTGTATACCAAACCACAATATTAATTAAGCCTTTGCTACCAATTTGTAAAGAGACGGGCATGTTTATCTCTCATTTAGTTTTTGAGGAGGTCCGATTTTATGTCCCTCACCTTCATATGTTCACTTTCTGGTTATCAAATTACAAGGTAGGAATCTATGTCAAACCTCTACAACGTCAAGGCGATTTTAATTTAAAAATATATACACCAATACATTGTTTTTAATATATTCTTAAAAAATCCTTACGTTATATAGGGGATCAAGAAAGAGGGCGGGAATACAGTGAGAATTGAATTGACACCTATTGTAGGTACATCATCAATATACATGAAGTGTGTAGCAAAACACTAAAGGAGGAAAACAATTTGAAAAGGAAAGAGAAAGGGTGTATACGGGTGAAACCGGGCCCATGGGACACCCTGGTTTCCAATAAGGTAAATCCAGCAAGAGACGTCATGATAAAAAATCGGAATCGAGGCGAGAGTCTCATCGAGCCAGGGTCCGGGGGCACATCACCCACCCACGGAAAAATCGGGGCCATGACCCCGGGATCGGTCAAAATCCCAAAAGACTTCAAAGAGTGTTGTCAGGCAACCGAGCACGATTAACAGAAGGCCGTGACATCCGTGACCAGCCGGGTATCACGGCATGGATCTCTGTACGTACCAGCAGAAATTCGTGATCAGTTAAACAAAAGATTTTTACCTTTTATGCAATTGTACCTACGGTAAAATTTTTCTACTATATAAAGGGGGTCTGATTATTCATTAGACACTGTAACACACATATCAAGGAAATATACTATTATTTTCTCTGTTATTCAAAGTTCTTGTTCTTGTTCAACAGTGCTTGGTCATTGTGAGTCCGAGATCGAGGGCGGATATTTTATTAAAGCTGTTGTTAAGTCCGAAATCCTCCTCCTCAAGTGGTTTGATAATTTATTACCTCCTTTATCCGTTTAATCTAACGCAATTTATCGTTTGTATCGAATTAATCAACATATCCTTAAAACCACAAACAAATTTAGTTATTATCCATTTTTTAGGGTAAACAAAGGGCTCTTAAAAAATTAGGAATATCGGGATTCTCACATTACCTACTTTGCATATACAAACCAAAAAAACAGAAATATGGCCAGCGTTGTAATATCAAGTTAGCCATGTCAAAATAAAAAGGGAAAATGGTCAAATATACCCCTCTACTTTAGTATATCATTCATATCTATCCTTTGTTATACTATGGGCCCATATTTACCCTTAGCGTTAGCCAAACTTTTAAAAATGTCATCCACCTAACGGAAAGCCACCAGATTAATAAAATAATCATCTTAAAAAAAATTCATTAACCCAAACCCGTTAAACCCATCATTTAAAAATATGAAACATAGATTTCTGAGACGTCTTAACATATTTTATTTATTTATAGAGAGACCGGGAATGATGGTGGAAGTAGGATTAGTAAGAATTTATATTTTTGGTTATTAGTTGTTCATGGTGGCATTAGGATGTCATGTTATCACTTTGTCTAATGTAATACACACTTGACAGTTGGTTTGTATGTTAGTAACAACCGATATATACTTTAATAAAACTTGTATTTGGTTAATACATTAAGTTAGTGTACTTAGATTGTTAAGTTGCTTTCCAACTTGTTGGTGTACTATCTTTCATTCTTGATGAATTCCTCGGACTGTAGCTTGATATTAAATTGAATCTCCTCTAATTATTTTCTAATTTTTATTCATTATAAGTTTAGTTATTACTAAGAATTATGAGTATCATATCCTATATCTTGGAATCTAACTTTGGTTCTTAAGGGATGATTTAGAAATAATTACTTGTTGCCCAAATGCTTAAAGCATGATAAGAAAATCATGGTGCGTAAATACTCATCAACAAAGGCTCACTGTTGGAGTAAGAAATACTTCGGTAGGTACCTTAAGACTTCAGAACTGCCAACCTAATAAGATGCTATAAATATTCAAGTCATGGTGGAAAGAAAATGATGAATACTCGGTACACTTCGACATGGTAGAAAAAACAAAGAGAGAAGCTAGAAGAAAAAAATAAAAATTAGAAAAGGTAAAATATAATAAACACACAATAAGGATATTAAAAGAATTGGGACTCAATGTATAAATAAATATATGGTTATCGATATTTTTATGTCTTTCACTTCTTGAATTCAACAAGTGACTACGAAGGAGATGAATAATATGTGAGGAAGAAGTGCAGTAAATAAAAGGGGTTTAACGGGTTATTAATAGGTTTTAAAAAAATAGGTATTTTTTTAATTTGGTGGCTTTCCGTTAGGTGGAGGGCATTTTTAAAAAGTTTGCCTAACGGTAAAGGTAGAGACGTCTCGATAGTATAACGGAGGATAGATGTGAACAATATACCAAATTAGAGGGGTATATTTGACCATTTTCCCAAATAAAAAAGATAGAAAACTTCTGGTAATTGAATAATTTCCAAATATTCTTGTAATTGAGAAAATATAGAAAATATTCTGATAACAAGTTGATTAAGGTCAGTTTAATTCTAAAATCAGTTGTTAGATCAGTTTCTCACAGGATTTCCAAACATGCATGCTAGTATAAGGACTCAAAACCTTGGTCCACGTCCTACAGAAGCAGGCAAGTTATGATTTCACGATCGTTGTTTTCATTTCGAATTATATATATGTATAATTTTTTTTAGAAATGTATATATAATATGTTTACACTTATTAATCTATTTCAAGGCAAAATCCAACTTAATAATAACAATTGTGACATGTACGCCATGATATTGAGACATACCCTAAGAGTCAGGACTTGAATTTTATGGTTCGAGATTATAATCCTTTTAAGTTATTGGTAACTAAATTAATAATATATATTCATTGAATATCTTAATACAAATACAAGACTTGAACAAAAGCTAGTGGGTTCAACTAATACTGTGGCACCACCCCCGACCCTCGAAGTCGCAAAAATCCAAAAGCAGCAGTTCCAACATAAAATCTTTTGTTGATTCAACAGACAAAAACATCACTTGGATGATTTTTCCAATGAAATACTCAATTAATTTTTGAATTTCTGTCTTGAAAAAACAAAGAAACTTAGCAACTCAAATTTCACTGCGCTGTTCAGTTTTATTAATGTGTAGGTATTATCGAATCTATGAAGAAGGAAAAGATTAGGAAAAATAATAAGACAAAAAGAGCAAGAGAAAAGAAAATAAGCAGGATTTGATTCTCACCTCATGTTCTCAGTTTTCTTTAGGTTACTCCAACTCTCCTTTAGCTTTTTTTTTTTTTTTTTTTTTTTTCTCATTCGGTGTTCGGTACTCATATTGTGGCCCACTAAATTCGAATTCGTGTCGAAAAGTTTACAGTGGAGGGAGGGGGTAAAGCGCTCTCTAACAAAGACGACTACATACCCGGACTCAAACCCGAGACCTCTGAGTATGGATGATGGAGTCCATCACAACCCTTGTTCGTCTCCTTTAGCTCTTTCTCTTCTGAAGACCTAAAATATATCAGGTTTAAAGTTAAAAGTGCCAAAAGTTCTTTGAAAAACGACTAAATCAACCAAATCAAATCTTATTCAAACAATCTTAGGTTTTGATAAAAATCTCCAACACTATTGAACAATTAGCTAAGGTAGGTTTTTATTTTTGTAAACAAACAGAAAAAAAAAAGAACCGAATAATATGATGGTAATATTTCTATAATTCAATCAAACTACATCAAGAAAATAAAGCACACACTGTGTGTGTGAGAGAGAGATGAAAGACAACTTCTGATCTATCAGGTTGAGATACCATTAATAATCAGAACTTCACTTGCCAGGAAAGAATAATCACAGATCTACACAGTCCTCATTTCATCAGCAGGGTCTTCAAAAAGAGCAGTGAACAGTCTCAAAATAAAACAAAGATCCAAATTCACCTGTTAGATTTTGAAAAAATAAAAATAAAAATAAAAAACAGATCGATCTGACAAGAACATTGTTTCAGTACTGAACTGAAATACAGTAAAAATAAAACAAGGTAAATCCATATATCTTGACAAAAACTGAACAAACCGTACTATACTTCTGGGGTCTGAATTTCTCCTTTTGCTTAGAGTGTCAGCCTTAAAAGAAAGTACTCTGGTTAGCATAGGCACGACCAGACATTTATGAGTTCTGAATTTTCTATTAAAATTTATAGCTCGTTTAGTTACCTCAGCTCCAGTAAGTTAGGTAGTCGTTTATTGCTAATGCAGCATCATCAAGATTCTCACCTCCAAAAAGGCCATGGTCGTTAATCATCATGCCTTTATAATATGTGAATCTTGATGATGCTACATCTGCAAACAACAACTGCGTTGACCGTTCAACCATCGACCCAGAAACCCTATTTTATCTGTATCGCTTCAATTTTATGAATGTCTTCAAGTGGACCAGAAAACCCTATCCTTCAACCATTAAAAATGGTTATCATAAATGCTTTACATAGACATATTTATAGGGGGGAAATCTAAGTACATCCATATCTTGGAACAATGGAGTAACAATTTTAGCTACAATAGTGGACTATCTAGCCACTAGAGATTTCATCATTTTCAGAATAAAAATCAAACATAAAGAAAACCTTATTTCTTTGGAACGTTAATGGTTCTTGCTCCACAAAAAGATAAGTAAGGAGAAAATTAACATATAAATAACAGATAAAACCAAAAGAAAAAAAAAATTAAGACTCCAAATTCTTTCCTTTCCTCTTGGGTTTTTAGATAAGATTTTTTTCACAGGTTCCAGCATATGTTGAGCAGAAAAGGATAAGCTAATTCAGTACACCAAGAAATAGATTAAAATATATAATTAAATAACCTCATAGAAACATATTTCAAGACTCCTTGTCAAATAAGTAGAAAAATAGCGGAAAAATAGGAAAATAATTGCATGATAAAAGGGAATTAACAATAATCCTAGAGTGATCTCTAGGAAGAATGGAGTCTGCATATTTCTTTAAGCTTGTTGTATGTGAGAGAGTAAGAGAAGCAGTAGATGCGAAAGGAGGAAAGGGAATATATATATATATNAAAATTTCTTTTACTAGAAATTCATTAAATATCTATAAATAATTAACTGTAAACCAAGTTATCATTGTTTATTAACTAAAAATTATTATAGGAACACTTATTTTAAATTTTGGATGTCTTACTTTTATTTTTTTGAGGTACTATACTACTTTTAATTTTTAATTTTTTTTGTTTTCTTGTGAAACTTTTTGATTGGCCCATGCTTGTTGTGTGGATGTGGTACCATCTTAACCAAACCCTAATTTTCTTCCGAGAAATACTATGGCAAAAGGGCATTAGGGCACGGGGCACCCTAATTATTTTAAGCTTGCACTTTAATGCAAAACTCTTTTATTTCATAAAAGATAAAAAATATGATTCGAAAGTTGTAAACAAATTACTCCTTAAATTGGCTTATTTTTCTTTATTTCTTTTTGGAATTTAAATGGCAGTGATCTAAAATGTAGATAACTTTAAAGTTTAATTGTTTCGACCAGTTAACATGGCTTCTGTATGTTCGTTAAATGTGAATCATAAATATGATAGGGACAATGAGAAAGAAAAAGAAGAATTTGATAGAGATTTAATAGTATACAGCTTTTTAATCCATTTAGCGCTTATGGACCCCAACCTCGGTGATCTATCCATCTCCGATATGAAGTTTGAACGAAACTAAGTGAAGGTCCAACCGATTAATGTTAAAGAATCGTTGGGTGAGTTGTGGTTATGGGTAAAATACTATTTGTACCACCCTATGCTTAACAACTACCAACATATCAAGATCCACATTCGAATTAGTTCCTCGTCTAGAGGCCACCGTGTTCGTTCCAACGATCCAACAAACGATGCAAAATAATGATATCTTTCTTTCCATAACCAACGACTCACGCCAATGGGATCTTCTTCTAAAGCTTTCAATTTTCCTAGACAAATGAATGCTATGTTGAAGATGGACAAGTTATATTATCTAAACTTCAGAGCTAGATAAAAGGAGAAACATTTTCCTCTATCATAAAAGTAATTAGCACCAATTCTAATATGCTGAAAGGCATAGCTACAAATTACAAGGAATTGCTCCTTCATTTTTTTTTTTTTTTTTTTTTTTTTTTTTTTTTTTGTGGATGCTAATATATGGATAACCCCCACGATTATGGTGATTTTTAACTAAAAGTTTACTGCACTCAGTATTAGGTTATTTAATCCTGAAGTTATAGATTTGAAATGGGCCTAGTTAAGAATAATAATGGTATGACAGGATTTAGTTGTGAACTTTGTCGAAAGGATCTTTACACAAATAGCTGGACGGATTTGTTTTTTAATTTTCATAGCCAGTATACATAGATTATACATTTATTATATATGATTAAATATATATTATACATGTATTATACATAAGTAATCAAGATTTATAGCTTGTTTGGCCGAGTTTCAAAAATCAGCTTATTTTGATAAGTGTTTTACTCAAAAGTACTTTTAGTGAGAAGCGATTTGTTTTGGCTAATTAATTTGAAACGCATTTCTGAGCAACAATTAGCGTTTGGCCAAGCTTTTAAAAACTGTTTCTAAGTGTATTTTTCTCAAAAGTGCTTTTGAAGAGAAGCTATTTTTTTTTGGCTTTTCCAAAACTAATTCTGCTTCTCCTCTAAAGCACCTTTTTTTCCTTCCAAAAACTTAGCTAAATACATCAACTTTGAAAAAAAAAATATTTTTTTGAAAAAAAGAAAGTACTCTTAGGATTAAAAAAGCTTGACCAAACAGGCTATTAGACTCTTAAGCGGACAAATCCACTTTTGAGGAGTCTAATTGGTGACTTTTTTCGATCAATTCACTGCAACTGTGTTATCCCGTCATCTACTCTTCTTTGCTCGCCACCCAAGTTCCCAAGTTTTCTTCTTTTCTTTTTGGACAACCATCATTTTTTCTCATCGGTAGTCGAAAAAGTATACTATAAAATTTATACATATATATATATATATATATATATATATATATATATATATNGCGCATCTCCCTTCCTTCCCTTAATATTTTGGTTGGTAGATATTGTGTGTCCTTAGACTATATAGGGAGCTACGTAAATATATACCTCTCTGTGTTTTAACTCGTTATAGAATGTAACTTGCTTTATTCTATTTTTAAGTTACAAATCTTATTTAATATTTTATGAATTGCTTCTTGTAGATATCTTTAATGATTTGATGGTGTAAAAATTCTTTTACGTCATTTTTTCACTAAACAACTATGGTAGCTTTTCAGGTTTAGTTTAACTCGTAGGGAATCTTCTCTAAATATCTCAAACATTGAGCCTCTAAAACGTGTTCTGCAAAGTAATTAGGAAATTATTGTACTCCAAACCGACCTTCTATTGTAATCTTTAACTACTGTTATTATCTCTTGATTAGAACAAAAGAATGACTAATCCAAACCAAATTTCGACAGAGGGACGGGGGACCAGACATATGGGAATAAAAAAGAGAAAGAAAAAATGGGATCAAATCTAAGGCAAGATTTTTTCCAAAAAGTCGTCAGAATATTTTTGATAAATAAATGAAGTTTGAACCACTCAGTTTGTCTTATAATCTTTTGATAGTCCCATGAGATATTATGGGATTCGAACCCTAAAGTTCAGTAGTATAAGAATGGAGGGTTTACCACTAATTAAGCTCCTATGTGATACCCACTCAAAAAGGTACTAATTTGGTAATCCATTTGAAGAAGAATTTAAATCTTGAACTTTACCCTTAACAAGAGTCGAAAATGAGTCTTAAATTAAGCAATGTTGCTTATCTCTATCGAATCAATAAAAAGGAAAAGAGCCTCACGAATCTTGTTTTTTGTACTTCAAAAACAAAAAATAAACTAAAAAGGTTTTTAGAAAATGATATTTCCTCCATTTCAATTTATATGACATATTTTTCTTATTAGTCTGTTTCAAAAATGATTTTATATTTTAAAATAATTTAATTTTAAACTTCTTATTTTATCTATTGTATCTTAATTTGAAAAATTTTATGGTGTGAAACATGAACTAAGAGTCCGTTTGGACATAAGAATTTTTTCACTTTTTTTCGAAAATATTTTAATTTTTTTCGAAATTTTTTTATTTTTTTTCGAAATCAATGTTTGGCCATAAAATTTTCAATTTTCACTTGAAGATGAATTTTGAAATTTTTCGAAAATTTGAAAAACTCCAAAAAACTGTTTTTCAAAATTTTCACTCAAATTACTCACAAAACTTCAAAAACAACCCAAAATTATATTCATGTTCAAACACAACTCTAATTTTCAAATACTATTTTCACTTAAATTTCTTTTTTTTTTTAAATATTACAATATTTATGTCCAAACGCCCACTAAGAACAAAATAATAAAGAAGCGGAGACATAAGAATTTGGTTGGACGGTGTTACACAGATAAAACCTGAATGAAATAAATACTCTAGGTAGCATTTGATTATAAAGCTTTGAATTCGAGGTGACAGAGAACCTGAACGCACTTTGCCTCTGTTACAAAAAAACAAGAAAAAGCATCAAAGTAAATTTTGGTATTTGGTATTAGATTAGGTAAGATTCTCTGCCATCAAAATTTATGATTGTGGTGAAATATATAAGATTTTTTTTATTCTTTATAAAAGATTTTTGGAATAGAAAAATATTAATAAAGAGTGGTTCTTCTTTAAATAGATCTTACACAGTGCAAATTTATTTTTTTCACGATAGAAAATGATTACTATTGAACAGCGAATGAAAAATCAAAAAAATCCAGCATTTATGACCAGAAAAAAGAGAAAAAAGGAAGCATCCACCTGAAGATGGGGTCCAGTTTCCGTACAATCTGATTCGGCTTTGCCAGCATTCCCATCTGATATTGTCGCGCCTCTCTCTTTCTAACTTTGGCAGTTGCTTTCCACATTCCAATTATATACTGCTGTTACTATCTTGTCAAAAAAAAAATAAATAAATAAATTCGAGAATATCGAACTAAATTTAATTTTTTGATTTTTCTTAAATATATAGGGTTCTTATAAGTTGATCGAATAATTAAGTTAGATTTTATTTTTATATAAAAAATCCAAAAAAAAAAACATTGAAATGAAATGAGCTATTTCCTATTGAGCTTTCTCTCTCTCTATATACTATATAATATATGTGTGTGACCGTCCTGTTTCAAATGATATAAAAAGAACTAAAGAAGAGATAGCATTACGGAGTTGTAGCTAGGATTTAAAGTGCGTGAATTTTGAATTCTAAAAAGGATAACTTATCGGGTTCTTAAAAAATTATTTTTACGTATTAAGTGAATTGAGAACATGATACTTAATAGGAAGATGTGGAAATCGAGGATTAATGTTGTGAGTTAGTAGGTAGTCGCACGATTTTTTTTCTCCATACCAGTAGTATTAGTATTACGCCCATTTTCGATTACTACATGTTGTTTGTTTCGATTATCTTATTTTCTTGTTGTGGTTACTGCTTCTCTTTCATGACTTTTCCACCGTATTTATTTTTTATGACTGTTGAGCCGATGGTCTATCGAAACAATTTCTCCACTTTCGCAAGATAGAGGTAAGGTTAGCTTACATACAACCCTTCTAGAGCCCACTTATGAAATTTCATTGAGTATTTATTGTTGTTGAAATAAATTTCTGATATAACATAAAGTTTTGACCAAAACTACTGAATTCTAGTGCCGCTACATGGCAAGTTTATGAGACGCATTCCTCGGTCATAAAGTGGACAAGTAAACAAAAAATTAAACTTAATAAGGAAAAATTAACTAACGCGACATACTTCAAACACTATATACACAACTTATTAAACACTCTCTAGGAGCTACTTTTCTTATTTACATTAATTAATAGCCATTACTTTTTTTAATCTTTTCGGCGCTTAGGTTATCTTTTATAGACGTTGTGATCGACTTGAACCATTCTGTTGGAGATAGGGGTCCATCCTGAGCACTAACACATAAGAAAAT